TGGTGGGCCTGGGAGGGGAAGTTAGCCACCTCCTCACCTGTCACCTGCTCCAGCTTCTGGAGGAGCACAGTGACTGGCAGCACAGGCACTGCTATGTCTGCACTAAGGAAGGTGCAGGGCTGAGGCAGCGCCTGTCCCTCACGTGTACACGAGCCCACACGGCACACAAGCAGGGGGCTAACTGAGCCCTGGACCCCTGGGTAAGACTCCTAAAAGTGAGCCGGCCTTGGCAGTTCCTGTTTAAAGACCACCAGGGCACCCTCGACACACAGCATCTGAGAGAAGTTACAGTTACAGCTGAATTGATCTTTCTGGTGGGGTGCTGAATCACTGACACATTCTGATTAATACCATCCTTTGTTGAGAGGAGCAAGAGGTTCAGCCCAAAGCCTCAGTACTGCTACAGCAGGACCCTCACTGTGGTGACATGTGCCAGGCTCCAGAAAGCATCCATAACTGTCAGTCCCTCCGTGTATGCACTGGAGGGACCAACAGGGACCAGGTCAGCCAGCCCAGGTGCATTTATGAATACATGTGATCTTCCCCAACTGCCTGACACCCTTGGCAGCTGTCTCTACAGTCCTGTGTCCCAGCTCTGGGATCTTAGGTACAAAGTCAAGACACGCCAGACTCTGACCTGCCTTTGTTCCATCCGAGTGGCTCCAGCCCTTCCAGTTCCTAGCCACTAGTTCTCAGTGGACCTTGTAGGCTTTGACCTATTCTGACCTGTGGGATGGTCCCGGGCATCAGACGAAGGGGCCACAGGGTCAATTATGAGCTGTTCCTACTATGTGGCCCTGCTTACTGCCACCATGGGTGACACTCTTGACAGGATAATCTCCTGGGGCAAGGGAACAGGCAGGGTCCTGGAGAACCACAAGGAGCAAGATGTCTAGGAAGTTCCTACTGCCCGGCAAGCTTTTAAACTCACCATCCCTTGACAGTGGTGGACAGCCAGTAGACGCCTGCTCCAGGACCAGCATAGGCCAGCCTTTCCAACCAAACTCAGAGATGCTGGGATCTTCCCCCTTTGGAGCATGCAGAGCCGGCAGGATGCCAGGCTCTTACTGGGCTGAGCTGGAGCCAAGATCGCTTCCCTTTCCCCCAAATGGCAGCCCCCGGGCAACAGCTCCTTCCACCCACTCAGCAACAGAGGCTGGGTCCTGGCTGGGCTGGGAAGCGGAGTGTGTGGGCCTGAACAGCAAACCCTCAATTATCCCAGCACACATCTGCAGAACCTGCTCGACTGGAAACAGGGCACAGCTATTTCTAACTCTGCCTCAGACCCCTTCCTGCCTTTAAATTCATTTCTGGGTAAATAAAACAAACAGAAGTGGCTAGGGGTCTGTGGTTTGGTGTGACTTTTTCCTGTTCCCAACCAGATGCTATCACACCAACTGCGTGCACCAGCCTGTGGGGCCCTGCCCCAGAGGTCAATCTACTGTCTGTCGTCATTTCCCCCACCCTCCGCCACTGTTTTTGGCAGTATTGGTAATTGAACTCAGGGCTTCACACTTGCTAGGCAAGTGCCTTACCACTGAACTGCATCCCCTTTTCAAATATTTAATTTTGAGGTACAGTCTCATTAGGTTGCCTAGGAGGGCCTTGAAATTGTGATTCTCTTGCTTCAGCTCCCACCCCGACGCTTCAGATTCCAGCCCTGCGCCACTACACACAGCATCCTCACTCTTCTCTCACTGTTCTCTCCCACTGGGATACCTCTGCCCTGCAGATCCCGGAAGCGTCCTCTCCACAAGCAGGGCTCCCGCTGGAACAATGCTTGCCACTGGTGGTATAGGTCTGTCCCTCCTGCTGCTGAGCTTAGGGTTCCCCAGGGTACAAAGTGACCAAAGATGACAGAGGGAATAAGGCAGAACCCGCTATGGTGTCCTGGGGCAGGAAGGCTTGACCCTCCCAAACTCATCTCAGTACCTGAGTGGGACGATTTCCACAGATGGCCAGCCTGAAGTTCTGACCACGGAAGCATCAGCCCAGAAGATGCCTGGCACCTGCGAGGCCTTGGAAGGGACAAGGAAGCATGGGCTGCTGAAGGGGGAAGGTGGGCAAAAATCATGAATCTCTGAGATGCTCCTGGGGCTCCATACTCTCCTCCAATGGAACCAGAGGGGCCAGGGGCACACAGCTGTGTGCAGACCCCAGGCCACTGAGGGTACCAGGAGCACTGCTGTGTGGCTCTGCAGGGGCGGAGCAGCAGACAGGACTTGATGTCACCAGAAGCTGTGTAGAGGCAGGAGTACTTGTGGGCTGGGACTGAGTTAGCCTCTGGGTTGCCACCGACAACCAAAGGGCAGGGTCCGGGCCTTCAGAGGGCACATCATAAATATTATCTCCTCCAAGCCTCAAGGGTAAGCCCAGAATTGCCTGCCGACAGTGGGGAGACAGAAGGGGTGGCTTGGTCAGTGTCTGCAGGATTAGGATGCTGGATGACACTGCCACCATGGGATCTGCATAGGTGATTAGGGAAAAGAAGGTGGCATGGGCAGCACAAGGTAGGGTGCTGAGGGATGGCAGCAGTTTCTGCCAGGTAGACACTCTGGAAGAAAACAACCAGCACCCAGTGGCAGGAGAGACAACCTAAAGGCCCTGGACAGGCTGCAGTGCAAAGAAGTGTGCCATAGGTGCCGGGCAGGCAGGAGATGGCAGACCAGCCAGCTGCCCCACGGCTACCTCAGGCCTCACTGTGAGATCACAGCTGCCTTGGAATCAAAAAATGTAAATCTCAGGGCAGATAAGAGGGACATGGGACTGCTGCAGGCTCTGCTCTGGAGACAAGTCACAATACACAGCTCCCAACCCAAGGTCACAGGACACTGCCTATATCCAGGCCACAATAATGACACTTGGCCTACCATGATGACACACAACTCCTCACTGGGCTAGCATGCTGACACAGGACAGTTCACTGGGCCCAACTACTGAATCCTGCATCGTTTACATTCTGTGGCAAGTCACAGGCCAGGCATGGTGGGGGTACCACTGCAACTGTGCTGTTTTGAAGCAAACTTGGGATAGCTGTGGGCCTGGGCTGCACTGCCCACCAGCCTTCCGGACACTGAGGCACTGGCCGCATCCAACCCTGGAAGGGTTGAGCTGTGGAAGAGGCCACCTATATCTCAGACTGCCAGCGGGTAAGCACCCATCAGCTTAGCTGTGGAGTCCCTGCCTCGTCCCCTGAGCCAGGCGAGGCCAGGTAGGTCCTTCCTGCTCCCATCTTCCCTGTGTGCCCTGTGGAGGGGGCAGTCACCTGTGGGCCATTCATGGGCCAGCCAGGCAGGGCACACTGTGGGATTCATGACTAGCCAGACGGTCCCTCAGGTGGGCCAGGGGAAGTGGCAGGAGCCCTAGAGTGAAGACTTGGCACCCACATGCCCCTTCCTGTCCCTGGCATCAAAATGCTAGTAGTGGCAACTTTAGGACCCAAAAGAACTGGGTGAACAGTTCTCTTCTTTTGGGTTTTTGCTATTTTCAACAACCTATAAATACAAAACATTTGGAATGTTTCCCCAAGGCCTCCCTGGAGATAGTTTTTGTAAGAATGCAATCACTTTAGCCAAGGAATGTGTAAGAAGCCAGTGAAAAAAACCTGTCTCATAATTTATAAATGTTGAGGCAATAGCGACATACTCAATAGTAACATTCATAAGTACATCTTTATTTGTCTAATCTTTAAAAAAAAGGAATTTCTACAGTGCATTAAGCTAAATATTCATCAGCGATCCTGAGTTATTCAGGAGTACATAGAATTATACAAAAGTGAAGAAGTACGTTTCTGATCACTTATTTAATGGAAGACTTTGCTTATCTGAATATTTATTTACTTACTCAAAAGGTTGGCAATTTTTAATAAGCGTGAGAATGTATGAACATGACCTGAGAAGTCTTGTAAATGTGGGAGGACAGCTGTGAAATAAGACAATGGGGACCAAGCCTGAGGCATGGTCTGGCCACAGGGGTGGACCACTGCAAAGAGTGTTATGACGGACAGATGGACGGACAGATAGGTTCGAGGAGAGTGAGCTACTATACTGAACAAGGTGAACACAGAAACAACGCTTTATAACCAGATTTCTGCTTAAAATACTTAAGGCACATGGAGAACACTTTAGGGTACAAAAAGTTGGCTTCTGTTTCTACAGAGATGGGCAGGCCAGCTGGCTATGGTGGCTTAGATGGCCTGGCCACAGCGTGGTGGTCCTGACCTCCTACAGACACTGCTGGCTCAACCCTTACTGACAGCCATCCACCATACTGGGACCACAGCACCATCCCCAGGCCAGTGATGGACCCGCTTTTGTCACCCAAGATTTCCAGTTGCCTGACTTCCACCCAGTCAGCGGGGCAACACACCTACTTTTGTGGTGGGAAGTGCCGATCCTGAGGACTCCACATCCCCATACTTGCCACTGCCTAGAACCCTGAAGGCCACAGCCACACCGTGCATGGTCTCAGCAGGCCATGCTGCTCCCATGGCAGTGAGGGGCCTCGGCACTGGTGCACTTCAACACAGGCTGGCACCGGGCACAGGCCTCATACAGGCACCAAGTGCGGCTGCTGCAGACTCAGCCAATGGGACAAGTGGCTCCTTCAGCCCAATTGGCTTTTCCTTTCCCTTCCTGTGGGTCACACCACATACTGCCCCCCAGCCGAGCTCTGGCAGCTCTGAAGGTATCCATTCCACTCCTCACACAATTGCTTCGGTCCTCTGGGATACTACTGCCTCTGGACAAAGCGACATGCTTTCAGTGTCCCCAACCATGGGGGAGCCCAGGTGGGCATACAGAGGGAGAAAGGGGGGTGGGGGTCTGGGCTGAATGGCCAGGTGGAGGTAGCCCAGGGTCAGTTAGCAAACTCCACTGGTGACACGCATGTCCCCTCCCTTCCTATTACACCATGCCTTGGTGACATGAAGACTAACAATTTGCTTTCCCCTAGATGGGATGGAACAACAGTGCATGGCCAGGCTGTGGAGCAGGGCCTACCTTGAAGATGAGGCAGTCGGTCTTGTGCTCGGCATACTGGGAGGTCAGCCGGTACTGGTTCTCGGTGGTGATGTCGATCTGGTAACCTGTCAGCGTGTAGCAGACCTTGCGGAACTCCTGGATTTTGGTCTGGAACACCTCCTTAAGCCGCTGGTTCTTCAGCTCGGCACTTTCCACCTGCTTTCGCAGCTCTGTAGGAGAAGGCAGGAGGGAGTGAGAGGCCAGGTTAGGCAACCCAAGAAGGGGCAGTGACATAGTAGGGCCAGGTGGCAAGGACAGCTGTGTCCCAATCCTAGTCACTCCCACCCGGAGATGGGGAAGGCCAGTGCCACGTCAGCAAGCCCCAATCTGTGTGTGCAGAAGAATCAGGAGAGCTGATAAGCAGTCTAACCTTCTGGTGGCAGTGATAATAAAGCCACTCTATTAATGACAGCAACTCTAAAGAAAGCAGTGACTCTGAAAGCCAGATGCTGGAGTCAGATATCTGGACTCCAGATTCTATGCCTGGCCTGGAGTCTTTAGGCCTGTTCTCATTTGGAGGAATGATAATGGGCAATGGGCACTGCACTCCAAATCATCCTGAGAAGTTCCAGGGGTGGCCGACACTTGGGGTGCACATGTCCAGGTGAGAATTCTTGAGAGGAGAAGCACCAAGAGCCTGGGTATGTAACGGAAGACTTGAATCTGCCATGCAGCCTCGGTGATTCTGATATTTGTAGGCTGAGTCCCTGTGGGGACGCCTGTCCACGATCCAACTCCAGCATGTGGTGGGCAAGGAAGCAGCGAGGAGGTCAGGCAGCCACTGGGCCACTATGGATTATTTACCCAGGGCGGGGTGGGGGAGGCCCACCTGCCAGCCACGGTGAGTACATAGAAAGGCCATGGTCAGGTGTCCTTCCTTGATGTGGGGTCTGACTGGGTACTACAGCTGAGCTGTGAGATAACAGCCCCCCTGTCCAGCCCCCTCCCCTATGCAGCTCTGAGTAGACCATTTGAGGCAGATTTCTGCCACCCGCCAATCCGCCATGGTTTACAGCCGCCCAGGGAGACACCAGCTGTGCAAAGCCACCACAAGGACACACAATTACCATGAATCTCTCGCCCAAGGTGCCTTCCGAGTAATTAAACCTTGATTTATCCCCCCATTAATTACAGAGCTTAGCTCCACTTAAACACGAATGGAGCCATCTCCCGAGTTGGCACTTCCTGGAGGTCCTGCCTGGGGCTCGGGATGGGGGCCCTGGCCTGAGTGTAAGCTGGGCTGCACCAGCCTCCTGCAGCTGTGACGAGGGACAGGCTAAATTTAGGCCCAGACAGTCTGGTAAACATCAGTGTGGTGTGTGGCTGGGGACACAGAGATTCTCCTGAGCAGTGTGACTCCAGGCAGTACCCAGAACAGGTGGTCCTGAGAACCAAGGGTCCCATTGACCAGGCCCAGCCTGGAGGCCTCAGGCCACTGCCGAGGAATGTGAGAAAAAAGCAGGGGCTGAGTTCACACTTCAGGCTTCAGGGTGGGGGTAGAAGGGGCTTGTGTATTCTGGGCGGCTTCCTGGAGGTAAGCGGGGCATGGAGAGCCCCCTTACAGGACAGTAAGTGGAAACCAGAAGCCTTTGTGAGATGGACTGAGGAACACAGAGACCCAGGAGGGCTGGGTACCCATGCAGAATGCCAGAGGCCCCCATGCCACCTGCACATACTCATTTCACTGCCACGTGGCTGTGATGCACAACCACCGAGTGTAAGGGCCTGGCTGTGGATGGGCAGGGCTGTCGCTGTCCTCACTGCCTCTGGGGCTCCAATTCACAGCTCTGAGTTCTAAGCCCTCAAAATGTGAGTTGAGACCCACATTTTGAGTCCAGCATCCTGGTGCCAGGGGCTGGAGGAGAAATGGCCTGATAAAACCCGTCCTGTCAGCAGAGGGGTCATGGGGCACTAGCCACTGCCCTTGCCGCTCCTCCATTCATCATGCATGTGGATGCTCAGTGGACACTGTCCACAGCTGAGTCCTTCCATAGGACCTGAGCTTGCAGCCTTGATTAATGGAGGAATCAGATTATGAAATCCAAAGGTTAATTGGCAGCTCTGATCCCAATATCTTTCCTGTGTCCCTCAGCCAATCCTCCTTGAGATAGAGCCCTTGGTAGGAAGAAGAATTCACTGACCACACTTCAGAGTGATATTTCAGCCCTGTCAGAGGCTTCTTGGCCTTTAATCTATCTCTGACATCCAATGGGAAAAATTAAATCTTAGTGATAAACGGAGCCTGACCTGGAGTAGGCAAAGGCCCTTCTGTGCAGCACGTAAAGCCCAGCAGCAGACGGGGTACAGCTCTTTGTGAGGCCCACACTCACATCCATAAGACCTTGCTGTGTGTCCCTGCAGGGAGAAGGTACCGCTGCCCTGCTCCTGGATGCCCTGTCCACATGCCTGGCACCTGTGGCCTGGCATGGTAGACCCACTGTTCTTGATGGCTTGGAGGGGAGCCACTTCCTCAGGGAAGGGCTGGCCCACCTCAGCGAAAAGGTACAAGGGAGAAAGCCAGAACAGTCACTTGATTTGGGGCCTGGAAGGTCAATGTTCTGACCTCTGTCATTCTTGTAGTTCAATGGCTTACATAAATGTGAATGAATAATTCACTGGTAGTTTTGGATTCAATGAATAAAAGATGGATTTCCTGCCTTGGAACCATTACTGCTCTCTTCTTGGTGACTCTCATAGGGCCTCAGAGTGAGTAGGAGCAAACCTTCCTCTGGGCTAGGTTCTGCTGGCTGCATGTGGGTGCTGGGCTCCTCATGGGCCCAGAAGTAGAAGCCCAGAGGTCCCAGGGTCTACCGTGACCCCATTCCCAGATCCAGCATACAGTGATCACACGTATGCAGGGAGGGCTGGCAGGGTGGCCTGGATGGCCATCAGGGTCCTCTGAAAGCCAGAGGACCCTGACCCCCATCCTCAGGCCTTGTCTGCCGTGTGTGCACCTGAGGCAGCTTGCTGTGCAGGAGATGGCTGCACAGACAATGAGACCAAGACTCAGGCACTGGCACTGACAGTCTCATTGTGGGGAGGCTTCCTCTCAGCCCCAAGCGCGTTTATATCCATGAGGTGGCCCCGAGGCCCTTGAGTGCTAGCCACTACCTGTTTCCTGTTGCTGGCCTCTCCTGCTCTTGAATCCTAAGCAGCAGCCAGGATGACCTGGGGAAGCTCTACAGACTCATCCTCCTCCTGTCCTAGTGTGTGTCTATACCAAGCAGCTCAGGGTCCCCAGATGCTCCAGGGAGGGCTGGCTGCTCCCTCCCTCTCCACTGACCTCTGTAGGGATGGGCCTGGCACTGAGTGGCTCTGGGCAAGTGCTGGTGAGGACAGCAGAGGAAGGAGTACGGTGGCTACAATCCGGGTTGCTCATCCAAGGCCCACAGCTAGGCAGGAGAGTGTCAGTGGCTGTGCAGGACTGGCTGGGCCGCCAGAGGACCCTGGATGGATCCTGACTCTGCCCTGACACATAAGCTACGTTGTGTCCAGGGAAGCCGTGGGGTGGCTCTGATCACTAGCACTGCAACTATCTTGGCCCAACAGCTGGCCCCTCCCAGAAAGGCAGAAGGCAGCTGAGATATTTCCAAGGGGAAGACACAGGACAGAAAAACCCATGCTCTGTCAGACACGGGCCAGCAGGAGAGAGCACTCCTGTCCGAAAGCAAAATGTCCAGATCAAGGAGCATTTACAGGCTCGAATCTCTGGGGATCCAGCTCACAGCTTGAAACTTGGAGAATGGCTGGTACAAGTGGGCAGGTAGGGCATGCACAAGGCAAACACAGACACAGAGAGAAGCTGAGAGCAGACAGGAGATGGTCACAGCTCACAGGATCCTACAGTCAGAGTCAGCGAGCTGGCAGAAGGGCAGAAGAGGATAGATGGGGAGGGCTGCCCCACTGTAGCTCTGGATGTCCCAGCAGCAGGACCTCCAGCTTGTATCACAACTATGGGGCAGCTGGTCACTGTGTCCTCAAGAGAAGGAGAGGAAGCTCAGCTTTGACCTCCCCGGGGTGCTGGGGAATGGCTGGAAGACACATACAGAAAGCCTTCTAAAGACGCCAAGGTGGTATCTGGGACTGCTGTCCTCTTTTGTCTATTCTGGGGGCCAAGGCAGGGCAGGCCCAGTGGACCGTGGCAGCTGGACTGGGTATAGGCATGAGTATTACAGGCATGGGGTCCTGGAGTGAGGCTGCAGCACTGCCCTGTCCCAGGTGCCCTCTGGAGGCAGAGAGGCTTCAGGCCTCATGGCCTGTACGGTCCATCTACCCAGCCATTGCTTGAGCTGCTCTGACCCACATCCTTGCCCCAGAACAGTGTGAGTTGGAATTGGGCATAGACACCATGCAGACTCCGCTGCTAGGAAGCCAGATCCCTGTTCTGAGCAGGCTCTTCAGGCTGGCCTGGCCCCAGTTCCCTGAACCCACACGCTTCCTCCTACCTGTGCACATTCCCATTCTGTGTGGGGTCTGGGTGTCCGAAAGGACACCTGGCCTCAGAGTCACCAGGCTCTTGTGTGTTCCCAGTCTGACTGTCTTCTTCACAGTGCTCACAGGCCACCCACAGCGTGACTTGTAGTCTTACTGCCTCCAGCTGACATGGCTCAGGAAAGACTGCGATGGGCTTCTGTGTTTCTACTTTGTCTGTGAAGGCCCCATGATGCCCAGGCCAGGGAAGGGTCACCCAGCACTGAGAAGTGCACACGAGGCCCCCACTTCTCCTGAGAGCCTGGCTCACAGTCCTAGAGAAACAGGTCAGTTTAACTGAAGCTGGTGAACGTACAGGGCACCCTGTGCTGGGTCCTGGGACATGGGGCCCACACAGTCCCCAGACACGTAGGAGGAGAGACCCAGCCTGCACGCTGGCTGAGGAAAAAAGGTGTAGTGCGAGGGCCCAGGTCAGCTTTCAGAAGAGGAAAGTTTATGATGAGTGACATGGGCTTGGGCTACCTGGCAGGGCAGGAGTCTGTCTTGCGTAGTGTTGGAGGAGTCAGTTCCAGTGTGAACACCCAACATGGCTGAGCACTGAGAGGCACAAGGCAGAAAGAGCCAGCCCGGCAAGGCCCTGGGGTCTCCAGAGGGGTCTCCTAGAGGAGACACACACGCTCAAGGGTACGTGGGAAAAGGCTTCAAGTCTGCATCGTGAGTCCTCCTGCCAGGTAGACCC